TTGCCTTTATGTTGGATGTTCTTCATCTTTGTGTACTTCCCTTCAGTTTCAGATATTTATCGTCTTTAGGCCTGAAGCATGATGAGGTGTTAGAAGATGGCCTAATAGCGTTCTTTGACCTGCATTCACTTGCAAAGTGTCCTTTGCGTTGATAGTTAAAGTAGTTAGCTGAGGCCTTGTCAATAGGATTTAACTTTGTCTTGTCAGCGATAGTCAGAGAAGGGGATCTGCGGAAATTCCTTTTTTTGGCAAACCTTTTGAAAGAATTTGTAAGTAGGGCGAGAGATTCATAAAATTCTGATAAATCTGCATCTGTTAAGTCCTCAGAGTCAGATAGATTTAACTTAGTGATAATAATAGAAGAAGATGAAGAAGGAGGAGGGATAAGAGGAGTTGCTGAAGAGGTTTCAGAGATCAAAGCTAAAGAGAACTTTTCATTTCTTTTGAATCTTTGAGAAGATTCTTTTTTAGCTGACGGGATTGCTCATGATTAAACAATATCCCTTAGAGGGTATTAAGAGATAGGGTGGACATATCCATAGACATCTTGAGACACATGGTATAATTATCCCATGTTTCTGGAAAATATTCTAAGAACTTTTTCAGGGTCTCAAAGTTGGAATATTCTCTTTGTTAGGACCTGTAAACTCAGTTTTGATATCAATCAAATACTCTGGATGATCTTTAAGACAATCAAAGTGCAACGGAAACAATATAAGAACAAACAGAGTAAGAATCAAGAACACATAGTATATGAGAATGACGAACACGAGAGAATAGCTTCAAAGGTTTTTCAATTGAATTGAAAATAAGACGATTACAATACGAGAAGCACACAGAATTACAAAGGCCTAGCTGCTATTTATACTAGTTCCTAACGGCTTTTCTGACATGACCTAGACGTGTGAAACGATCCAAGCCGTCCAAATAAAGACGATTACAAACATAGTCACATGAGAAGCACATGCAGCTAACTACCTAAGTAAAACAGTAAAAAGAGGTTCTCCATAGAAGATGAACCGCAGACCCTCTGTGAGCCATCCCAGAGGCTCTGCTGCATATGACTTGTAAGCTCTTGATAACAGAGAACCATTTTCCAGAACCTCTGTGAGAGACAACAGAGGTTCTGTCAATCTTGACTTGTACGATCAAACAGCTTTTGTTGCTGGTCCTCTGTTGTCTTCTGTGGAAGAAACCCTTTTGTCAACACTTGCAGAAATCTTTTTCATACTTTTACATTAAGCAAATATTGGASCTAACAATCTCCCCCTAAGTATGAAAAAGTAAAAAATGGACAAATAAATGCAAGAAATGACTAATTGAAAGAAATTACAAGAGGAGATAAAACTCATCCTCTAAAATGAATTACATTAAACTGAAAGAAATACAAAAATGTTGCTCAGGCCTATCTATTACAGAAGATTAGTCCACTGCAGAGTCTGGATAGTCGTCTACGGCAAACTACAGATCTGTCTTGATGGTTCTGTAGACCATGAAAATCCATTCTCTGAAGGAGACTTGCACTTTAATCACTTCCAGAATACCAGACACTTCATCCGCCCTTAGATGCCCTCTTTGTACTTCTGCAGCCACTTGGTTGAATAGCCACTCAAGTGTCTCTGTCGCATATTTATTCGCCTCTATGGGATCAAAGAACCTTAGAATGTCATCCTTGTCCAAGAACACAAACCCAAAGATGGGATTTTGGA